TTTATCATGGCATCTCGGGGCGAGCAACAAAAGCGATTGTTCCCTTTCGCGCGTTTGAGCCGTCAGTTTTATCGCACGAAAAAGAACAATTATTTTTTAATTCATGTCGAGTTGGGGCTATTCGTTTCGGCTCTGCGGGCCCTCAATGAAAAGAATATGAAATGGAGCCGGGAGGCTTGAAACGGTGGAAACGGTGGGTCGGATGTGTCAAATGTAGCGGAGGCGACTTCAGAAAATATAACGAGGGCCTCCCTGGTTGCCGCAATTATAACTTTACTCACACTCCCATTTATTTTCTTTAGCGCCATTTTACTTTCCCTATTGGTATGAATATGGCTTGGATAATATCCTTACTAATACTGTAAAGGTGAATGTTTGTATGTATGGATTGATGGTTGTTACTCTTTCATGAAAATACTACTTAATGGATTTTAATGAAACTTTCCAATAATATAACCTATACATCAGAATGACATAATCATATAATTTATATAAATATTTTATGTATATCTTTCTGTCTGTCGGAATGTCTTTCTGTCTGAATGTTACGCCTTTAGCTGCCCGCGATTACGCGTGTGTAGAAACGCACACGTAGTCGAGGGCAGCAGCTAGTGGGAAATAAACGTAGCCAACCTTCGTTACTCGTTATTTTTGGTTTTGGACGAAATTACTCATTTCTTCGAAAACCAATCTCATCAATCAATGTCACTAGCTGCAAACCGCGAATTCGGCCGCATTGAATATGGATGTGAAGTACTTGTGGCACCTGTTGTTGTTTACATTCCGAACGCACACCTTGGGAAGCCAGAATATTCGTTGAATAGTTCTATTCCTTAAGTTCGAATCGTGACGATAATCGTTCTATAACCTCATAAGTAAATAAAAAGTAAGTTCATACTACAATATAACTTTAGCCTTATGCACTCCCCACTTAATATTTTTTGCGTAGTGAATTTTATAGCACAAAAAAATTTGTCAATCTAGCTAGCTGGGTAGTATTTGTTAATCCTCTTAATCAAAAAATACTCCTTTCGACATATTCTTCAAAAAACAATAAAAATATATTATAACTTTATGAATTTCCACTTGTGTCCGTTGCCACCTACGCATTTGCTACGATAATATTGCGTAGCTGGGGACATTAGAGCGTAGAACATTTTGCTACGTCGTAGTAGGAAAGACGACGTCATTATGTTGAACATATTATAGCGCCGTAGGTTATATATTACATATGGTTCTAAAATAATATCAGTTGTAGAATCCAAGAGATAACTATTGATTTTATATAACAGTTATTTAAAAGCTCAGTATAGAATATTTTATTATAAACATTTTTTTACTGTCTGTAATATTAAAATATATATGCACTGTTCGCGGAGAATGTAATTTAGTCAAATCAGTTTTTGGTTCGATTTGGGAATAAAGAAAACGGTAAAAAAATCGTGAACATTTAAAGTACATGCAGAATGAAAAGGTAGAACTCTAGTAAGATGTGCTCTCGTAACGCGAGGAGGGATTAACGCTCTGGCGAGCTATTAGGCAAAGGCCGTGTTATGCACGCCGCCTAGCCCCGCATGACTTGAAGCTTCCAAAGCGAATATTAATAGCAACTGGCTCCTGTTTTCAATGTATCTTCTTGGGTTCTGAAATATACGACGCCTAAAAGATATAGGTACTCAGGAGTAAAAAAGGTTCAAAGATTTAGGGGAGTTTAAAAAAAATTACAGCTTTTTGCTCTTACTTATAAAGCTATTCAATGTTAATGTACTCGAAATAATTAGTTCGTTAGGATTAACATGTTGTTTCGACAAAATCGTATTATTTGCACATTCAAAATGCTTGTAGGTAATTGATTTTAAATCTATTTAGAGTGAAAACTTCATAATACATACATCAATACATACAATACACAGTGAATAATAGAATTTTCAAGAAGATTATATTTAAAGAATGATGTCTAAGAAGTTGCGGGTTATAGGAAGAGTTAACTTTAATCTTTACATCGTAATTTCAGAAATTATTAAAAGCCATAATCGTTTTCCCGTCCGTGTGACCACTTTTAAAAGTTAGAAATAATTATTATCCCCGACGAAAGTTGCTCCACTGAAATAGACCGATCGATCGAGACTCCATACTGCGCAGACATCGTCGCTATATAGGTAGTCATTGACTTATAGACCGATTGGCATAAATAATGCGCGGCAAATGCCTTGTTTGTGGCCATGGTCAGTCATTTACAAACGCTAGTTTTTGCCAAAATGTTGAAAGCATAGACAAGAATTATTATACGCGAACATTGTCCATTTTCAAGTTCGAGTTCGCCCGTATGCTATTTATATATAACGAATACAGTTCGTATACTATGTTATGTTTTTTCACACTTGGACTAATTTGAAAATAATATTACTGTCGCTATACATATTTGAGAACATCATGTATGTACGAAATAACATAGACATTTTTACAAAAAAACATACCACATCGCGTCGGGGCCGTGTTGACACGTTGGAAATACCGAGGTTTTTCACCACAAACAATTAAGTGTAAATAATTTCAAACATTTTGTAAAAGCCACCTTAATGGAAAGGGCCTATTAAAATGTCGAGGAATACATTAAGGACAAGGATGTGTGGAAATGAGTCTTGCTCTGCACATGCAAGTCCCCTGGCTTCTGCTAAGTTATACTAAAATAATTTTGTGTATATACTTCAATAATTAAGAAAAAAGGAAAAAATATATATATGACCGCAGAGTTCCTTGCCGGTTCTTCTCTTGCAGGTCTAGTTTAGTGAACCGGTGGTAGTTTTTGACGTTCAATAAGAGCTTAAAATAAGCCTATGTTGAATAAAGAAATTTTGACTTTGTCTTGACTTTTGACTTTGACAGTATATTGTAAATTTTATTTACAAAGCAAAGGCTTTTGCCAGCGTCGGGGAAAATGATAGGTGCAGTCTATAACTCTTGTGTGGAATATTTTTAGGAGCGAGATGTCCAAATATTTGCGAACGGCCGACCGGTATGTAACAATGGATGCTCCGAATCCGTTATGCAAACAAATGCCGAGATTGAATATTCACGTTTATTTAATTTAAAAAAAAAATGTGGAAACACGTTTCTCTGACGCTGCTCCGATGTATAAACGTCCCGACATTGCAAAAGAGAATTTACCCATTCGTTAACCCAATATTGAAATGTGTTTAGCTTTATGGTACATGAAGAATGTGATAGACTGAGGCAATTCATTTGATCGTATAGGATTAGAGCAATCAATGAAGATATGCAAAATATATCTGGTTACGGTCGTGCAGCAAACTGTTAGCCAGGTACCCCGGATACCTCACTGAGCAGGCGAAACGCACAACTATAATACTTCTCGAATAGCAGGCCACGTGTGAACCATGAAATAGGAACAGATGGAACTTACTGTCTGGTATTTTGTTTGGTTTTCGATCTAAGAAAATATCGCGTACGAAATATTTCCCACCTAATAGCCACTCTGCCTTGATTGAGTTATTTCATCTGCTCACAATAATTAATAGGGAATGACTTTGTGATGGTCAAACGTCGAAAACATAGTATTAAAGATTAGTTAATTTTAAATGTTTGTAATTTTTAGTTAGTATTACATACAGCAGCTTTACAGTTAGCGTACAAGCTAAATTGTTAGTTATGTACACCCCGGAGGTCGTAAACCGACAGCGAAACGCGTGTAGTCATGTGTCACTTTGGACGGCACTACGTTTATTTGTGCGGTTCGAAACATTTACAGAATTCAGTATACGCATTCTAATTAACGCATACTGAGTCACCGTACGGTTTCCAGAAACGTAGCGGCCGAGACGCCACTCGACAAACATTGCTCGCGCTCCTTTAATTCTAACTTTTATATTCGTTCCCACCCTTATATATAATCGATTTTATAACCAAAACTCTACCAACCAAGTAGAAGAGACTCGAGATGAAATTGTATCGATAACCATTAAACAAACCCTTAGGAAAATTATGGGACTGTACAGTTTTAAATCGGAAAACATCTCGCAAATTTGCCCGGAACGTGGTGAATTAAAAATGCAATTGGGAACACATTGATAGTGTACATTTGTTTAAATGACTAAACTTAAAGTACACCCATTAGTTCACACCGTCCACTTTAATGTAGACTACATTACAAATAAAAGTACGAAGTCTTAAGTTTGATTTTGCCAATTTGCAAATTTGAACATAACTTGATTTGATTTTGAAATGGTGAGCATATACGCTAGGTATATTACAGCCCTGTAGTCCCGGGCTCATAGAATAGGGCTAAGGTATCCCCTGCCTGTCGTAAAAGGCGACTAAAAGGGAACACGGATGGGCAGCAGCACGAAGTGGTCTCGTGTTGCTGCAAGAGGGTGAGGGGATCGGAGAAGGTTTATCCTTCTCCGAGGCGTGCTCAGGCGTAGTACCGAGGGACACCGGTGCGTTCCATGGGAGATCCCGGAGTCCCTCCAAATGTACAGAAGGCGGCCACCGAGGGGGTTTTAGTGGGTAAGAACCCCACATAACCCTGTCATGTAAAGTGACAGGGTATCTTTTGAAGATTTCCCCCCATACCAAAAAAAAAGGTATGCTGTATAAAAAGAGCATACTTTTAAAATTTTACTATGCATTTAATTAAGAACAAAATCACGATGGCACAGCAATTATAATTTCACACGTCTTAATGCATTTTTAATCTTCACAATAAACAACCAGCAAAAGAGCAAAATATCAAAAGGTTAATTCACGATAACGTTGTAACATCTTACTTGTCTGCACTATCAGTTATCATTTTTCGATATGTCATCTATCGAAGTGACGGTCAAAATGGAAACTGCATTTTTTATTTATTAAACGTGATAAAACTACATGAATCAATCGTTCAAATCGTTTACTAAACCTATTTGATACAGAACACTAATACAACACGAGATGTAGCTTTGCAAATTATTTGATTGCGATGAAAAAAACAAAATGGAACAATGGAGACTGGTAAACGCTACATCTGTCGCGAAATTGGAATATAAACGGAAACTATTTAGGTAAAGCTAACGCGTTAATTATAAATAAAACACAGTAAAGCTCACGGGTGAAATAAATTATCCACATACCGGGTTAATGATTATTTTAACGAATAAATACGATTGAATACGCAAAACAGATTTGGCCGGTAAAAGACCTTTCGATACACTCCTTCTATTTTAAACCTACCTACAGTCTTATTTACAAAAGAAAGAAAACATTCGGAACAATCCGAGACCGAAATTCGCGCACATCACGCAAACAATGACAGAAATCTACACGCAAAATGAGAGGAACATGATGGAGACAATGTAATAGTTAAAAAAATCACCTGAAATTGTGCTTTTCACTGCTGCCAGCTCTGTACTGGCTGCATGTCGGGACGAAGAGGGCACAGGCCGCGGCGGGCAAACGTAAACGGGCACACAACAGAACACGTCCACCAACGGCCGCGGGTGTGACGCTACTGGAGAGTGAAGCTGCCTCGCCCCAATCGATAGGTGCACCCTCCCCGCCGCCCCGGCCCCTCCTGGCCAGCCCCCACCCCCGCACAACAGGTTAGCGTGCGTGCGCCGACAAGTAAACACCGCCCGGACAGTGCACACGAGCGGTGCACCTCCACATATGTATTTATACCACTAAGAGATTTTCACGAGGGCTTTCCTCGTAAGGCACCATCCGGCGCATGGAAGTCTTATTCCCCGCGTAGCTAACGGAAAACTACTGGACGGAGACGACATAATGGCTGTCTGCTGCTCACATGACCCGAAAGGACGTCCCTTGTCTGCTCTTACGTGCTGTCTGCAAGATGCTCCTTAAATATATTTCTAGTATTGATTCCTTAGGCAGTTTTTGTTATGTTTGTCTCCATATATTATTGCATGATGATCGATTTGAATATAAATTGAATAATCAGGCACTTTTTTCTTTCGTTAAAGCGCACACTTCTTAATTTTTCCTAATTAATTATTATATCAAAATGCTGTTAATTTCATCATCTTATAACTTTTAAACTTAGGTTATATGTTCGCAAAATGGCACAGATTTTCATCATTGTGCCTTTTCTGTGCTAACTCAACCTTAACATTAACGGCTAACGACACCTACACTTACTACGATAATAGAGTGCCGATTGATATTACAACTCGAATGACGACACAAACTTATGAACATCTCAACAAAATACTGGTATTTCTGTTAGTTCAGTTACACTAAACCAGAAAAACTAGTAGAACTTTAATCTAGATGGTAATTTTTTTTTATGTGAGAGAGTGGCAAACGAGCTGGCGGTTCACCTGATTTTAAGTGATAACCACCGTCGTGGGTTGCAAATGCGTTGCCACTTTTAATTAAAGTGGGCCCCGGCTACCTCACTCACTAGACGAAACACAGAAGTGTATATATATAATACTTCTACCTTACGCTGGATGTGAGGTACTTATTCGGTTGGACATAACCATTCGTCCAACAGTGTTGCGTGGCCCTACCACCGTATATATCTACGATTAGTGCTTTGGTGGGAACATCAACAACATAACGAAATATTTTTTTGTATTTATGCGATTACACATTACTAAATGAAAATGTTTACGGATTTATCGCGATTTTTTTTGTTTTTATTCCCGACGCTTCGAACGAATCTTAACAGCGTTCATGGTCACGGGGCAGACTGGGGCTTTGGACGTTGGGTGTCATTGTTATTAATCCGTTCTACCGCCAGTTTTTAAATTATTAATTTTTGTGTTGATCTACGCAGAACATGCTAATTTTGTCTTGTCTTGAAGTAGTGGTTTGTTGGAGCCTCATGTGCCTAAAATTATTGTAGAAATATACATGCTATAGAAACATTGTTACAGTTTTAATTTACATTGAGCCCAGAATCTGTATAGCCATCTTTAAGCCATCCATATTTAAGCTTCATATCATCCAGAATTACTTCTTTATTTCGTTATCCAAGCATTGTAACAATCTTGTGCGAGAATGTCAAAGGGAGCTCATACATATTCATGAGTCTGCGAGCGACTGGAACGATGCGATGGCGCTTCACAATTCTGTCACGCTTTTCATACAATCTACGTCTGCATTTAATAAAACCATGTGCATACCAAATACGTATAAATATACATAATATCATGCAATTACTTTAAGTTTAAAAAAAAATATTACAAAATCATTATTAATCAAATTTATACACTTATATACATAATAATACACCTATGTTCTAAATATATAAAAAAAACACATACTTCTTGCAACTTTTAATTAATTAAATTGTGATGTGAAAGTAATGTTATAATCCTAATTAGCTAATCGACAATTTTATCCCTGCAATGTTGCTACCTAGTGCAGGGTTCAGTATGCAAATATGAACACAATTTATAAACGTACTTTCTGTGCTCAATACTGTAAATGATGTTTTTGTTCTCTACTATTTGTTTAAAAAAAGCTTTATTATTATTATTATGGGGGTATTTATTTGTTTTCTCGTCTGGTTGGGTTTGGGGATAAATAATAAACACATAAATCTATATGGCATCTATAAAATAAATATTATGAATAAAAATAAATGTACAGATACAAATATTATATATAATACATAAATAAATAGGACCCAACCAGACGGAAGCCCTCGGCAGGGGAGACAAAACGGCCGAGGGTTAGGATGAGAGGGAGAGAAACCGGCGGACGATGCGGGCGGTATCGAGGAGCACCGCCTTCTGCATTTGAGCTTGGAGCGTTCCGTCCCGGAGTCCCAGTCGCCTCAGGTGTTCGGAGAGGCTGACTGGGATTAACCCATTCGCAGACACGACTATTGGGATAATTTCGGTCGGCACACCACCCCACATGTCGGTCACCTCGTGAGCCAGGTCCAGATACTTCGTCTTCTTATCTGTTTCGGCTTTCACGAGGTTCTCGTCATATGGAATGGTAATGTCGACCAAAAATACCCGCGACTGTGCCCGGTCCATCACCACGATGTCAGGTTTGTTCGCGACAATCGTCCTGTCCGTGATGATGGGCTGGTCCCAATAGAGCCTGGCGCGGTCATTTTCGAGCACGGGCTCCGGAGAGTACTTGTAGTACGGCAGTTTCCGTTCCACGAGTCCGTATTTCAGAGCGAGGTCCTGGTGTATAATTCTGGCTACTAGGTTGTGTCTATGCAGATACTCAGAGTTAGAAAGCATGGAACAACCGGAGATATGCCTTACATGCCGTAGCGACTCCCCGGGATGGTGACAAGCTCGACAGATGTCGACGGTGCCATCCCTTAGGATGTATCTCCGATATTTGTTCGTCTTAATAACCTGATCCTGTATCGCACAGACAAAACCTTCGGTTTCCCCAAAGAGGTCACCGAAACGTAAGCCAGTTAAGGGAGGCAACGGTATCTACGAAAGGCTCGTGTAGAGTCTTGTAGAACCTCCCGTGGAGCTCTTTCTCCTTCCATACAGTTGCACATATTATTATGGGGGGATATTCATTTGTTTTCTCGTCTGGTTGGATTTATAAATAAAAATAAAAATAAAGATATAGATATATATTGCATATATAAAATAAACACATATTATTATTATTATTATATTTACTTTCCGTAAACTGGAATGATCTATTAAAATTATTATCTTATTTTTGCGCTTTTAATAAAAAAATTATAAACCATTTTTGTTTACTTGGCATTGCAATGCATATCGGGTCGTGTTAGTGTTTTAGATTAAAACAAAATATAGATAACTTATACAGCTTGTCGTTACAACCGCGACAATAAATGAACACACGTCTAACGCTACTTGCCAATAATCATAAAAAATTATAAAAAGTTAAAAAAAATCATATAAAAAAAATATATTTTTCAAACAAACTATTTAAATAAAAAAAAAACAAAATTTGTAACATCCTATACAACTACAGCTGACTGATTCATACATGTTGGCGCTGGCAACACTGTATACCGTATATGACGTTATCTACTCGAGCCAAGAGACACATGGTCGAAGGTCGAAGGGACGGTGATATAACCACCAGTGCTGCTTGTCGTTATAATAGTTATTAATATTCAAGTTCAGTAATGGTTAAACTATTAGGATCAAGGTAAAAACGTTAGAAGTCTTATATACATTCAGAGACTTTTTCATTCGTTGCCAAAACGTCGCATTACAAGTCTCTCCTCCTAACAGTGTTTTATCTCTTTTAAATTCATTCAACCCCTTCATATGCTTTGTGACCTTTACAAATGAACTTTACGTTACAGTTTTATACGTAAGGGTGTTCTAAAAAGTTTGTTTTGTAAAATTTAATAACTCTCTAAATATTGATGTTTAAAAAATGTAAAATGCTTACACTACAAATACAATTTTAAAAAGTTATCCTCTATAAGTGTGTTCATTTATTTTCGCGGTGGTAACGACACGCTGTATATTAATAATATGCGTATACACTTTTATACGTAGGTATGTTAGGTTCTAACTTCTTTTCCTTTTTTATGATTAAATTTAAACGAATAGAATCAGTGAATCCCGCGTATATTTTGTTTAATATAATATGTAATTAGCTTTCACGTCGTAGATGAACAAATAAAATACTTGAAATGAATAGAGGTCTTTTGGAATAGTTTATGACAGATTACACATTAAAGGAATAAAATTAAATTGTGACAAATTATAGGTCAAATTACATAAGTCAGCAAATTAACATTTTGTGCAAACTGTGAATAGCTCATCAAAGAATTTCGTTTTTCAAACAAGTTTGACCTACTTCAAATTCATGCATTTCCGGTCCCGAGCTTCTGTGGATTTAAATTTCTTCGCTCCCAATTAGTTTTAATTAATGTAAAATATCATGTAGGTTTTATAACCATAATAAAAATAAGACAAAAAAGTTTATTTTTCAGTTAGCATTATCTGTGTCTGTGACAATAGTTTTAAAGTTTATCCATTATTAGCTTTATTTATTCAAGATCAGAATGATGGTTAATATTGGTCACAATTTAAATTTACCTGAAAAGTGAAAAATATTTGACTCGACAAAGTTTTTTATGACACGAAACCTATTTTAAGATTTATGAATTGGGCATACGTCGAATGCGGAGTTTACGAGACAGTTTGGACGCGGCGCAGGCTAGCAGCGAACGGACGCCGGAAGACGTTAACCTTAAAAGAGCTTGACACGGAAGCGGGTGCTTGGGGAGCATAAAAGGATAGAAATGCGTCCATGAACAACATTTACATCAATCCCAACAGAGAACTTTACTCACAGAAGCTTTTGACTCTTTCATCCCTGACGTAGTTGGCAGATGAGGCAGGTACGTTAAGCGTTTTTTTTATTCCCTTTTAAACTAATTTACCGGCCGTGCAATTGCAAGAATGAATAAATAAAATCGAAATTGTAAGTTATGAACACGCAAGGAAGAAGGCACGACATGACAAATCACGTCATGGTAATAAAGTTTATTTATAAGGACGCTATTGATTGCATTGTCGTTCACGCTGTGCCAACATTTCGCGGTGGATTACTTAAAATATTTTGTTTCAGCATATTACATAAGATGGCGCTGTGCCATTTACATTCTACTGTTGGAAATTCACTGTACGAGCACATATATACGTATTGCTTTGAAAAGTTTGGAAACATCACGGATAAAGAGTTCATTGTTTTAATAAAATTCTACACATTGCAAACAACTTCAACCTACTTTACGAATTCCATCACGTTTCATTAGTTTCAAACTCGTTAATATCCATCTTAAACGATAATATATTTTGACGACCCGATTGGCGTAGTGGTTAGCGCACCTGCCTATTGCACCAGGAGGTGTGGGTTCGATTCTCACTACTAGAAAAATATTGTGTGATGAACACGGTTTTTTTCCAGGGTGAAAAATATGTCTAAGTTTGTTTATCAGTTATCTAGTACCCATGGTACAAGTGTTTGCTAAGTTTGGTACTAGAGAACATTGTGAAAAATGAGTAAAAAGCAAAGTAAAGTAACAGCCTATACATGTCCCACTGCTGGGCAAAAGCCTCCTCTATATTGCTCGAGTATATTGAATTAAAGGCAAGCTATCACGGCTCCGCGGTGAAGGAAAACATCGTGAGGAAACCTGCATATTTTCGGAATAATAACAAAAAAAATATATTTCGAAGATATGTGAAGTCCGCCAATCCGCAGTGGGGCCGCGTGGTGGACTATGCCCTGATACCCTCTCTATAGAGGAGGCCTTTGCCCAGCAGTGGGACATGTATAGGCTGTTACTTTTATCACGGCTCTAAAAAAAAATTAAGTCCTTAATATTTAATTGTTTTTATATATGTATTTATATCAAGTATCGGCAGGTCATGGTTTACACAACACAAAAAGGCCTTTCAGATATCCAACTAATAATTTGTTACTAACTTAAAAACACAGTTTCGCTATTTAAAAGTTTAAGGTTTATTAAGGTTCGCAACGAGGACTTGTTTGTTACAGAGTTGTTGAAAACTCGTTTTAAGTGGAACAATTAATAAGAAATAAGTTTGTGCATCTCCTAGTTTATTTGATAACCGTTTAAATTTTGAGTTAATTTTGTGCAGGGTTGAATAATAATTGTATATAAAACTAAAAGCAGCTCGGGAATGATGCCTTTTTTCTTCATGAAAATTTTCTGTACACTAATAACTTGTTAAAATGTTTTGCCTCTAAATTCTGTATAGGGCGCATACCTAGAGACAATTGAGAAATAAATCAAAACATGAAATACACCTGTTAACAAAAAAGGTAGGCTGATATATATATATATTTACTAAGATATATATACTAAGAAATAAAAGCCCTCACTCACCAAACAAAATGCGAATAAAAAAACCGGTCAAGTGCGAGTTGGACTCGCACACGAAGGGTTTCGTACCATTATCTATTATAAACTAAAATGTTGCCTAGCAAGCGTTTGTTGTATGGGGGCCATCTTAAATATATTTTTTTTAATTCTATTTCTTTTTTGTATTTGTTGTTATAGCGGCAACAGAAATACATCATTTGTGAAAATTTCAACTGCCTTTGTCTATCACGGTTCATGATAGATGGACAGACAGAAGAACAGCGGCGTCTTAGTAATAGGGTTCCGTTTTGCCCTTTCGATACGGAACCCTAAAAATAATGCTTCTAACTAACACCAGTCTCTGTAGACCGTGTTACTTCCACGAACCGGCCTACTCATTCGTACAACCGTGGTAGCTGCTTCAAATCAAGCATTTGTCAGATATATAATGTTGTGTTTTCATCTATTCGCGTATTTACTCGATTTTCCCAACCACCAACACCGCAATAACGATGACGTCTTCTTTCTCATATATTATGTAAGACATGAGATTAAAGTCCCTCATCCTTGGAATCGTGAATTAATATACAGAGTGCTCTTAGTTCATTCGCATGTTATTTGAATATGTATGAGTGGTCTTTGGTGATCTCGTCTTGTATGTTAGTGTTGTGAATCTCAACTATATCATATATTAAGTATCGACTATGTTATTGTAACCTATTGGCAGCGGTACTTACCAGGCTGAAATACTTTACTTTTTTCAACTTCAATATAAAAGCATAATTTTGAAATATTATAATGTAGAATGACCAAACTTGAAATAAGCAAGAGCAGTTAAGACATATATTTCTATATATATATATATACCCAAGGTCTTTAACGAGTAATATCATGTATATATTATTATGAGAAAATATCAACGAACTTACTAAACATAAGTGTTCGCTTCTGGAGAACCTGAAAATTTATTTTTCTCTTTTAAATTGTCGACTGAGTTCAGTTCATGGGCGGGATTTTTATCGAGTCCTTTATTGCTGTAGATCGTTCGACGGGTACTCCCCTAGGTCACGTACGAGGCACGTATTCTCTCCCAAGCCCTTCGGATCGAGCGACGATACGCCCCGTTATCTGAACGGAAAATATCTTACTTTGAAAGACACAATAAAACCCATTTTAATCTTCCAATAAACTTTACAGTGTCGATAGGTGTTTTCGAAAACACACATGGAGAAAAACTTTGCTCTAGCAATATCAGGTGCTTATAAAATCATGTGAAACCAGTACTTTCAAAGCTTTTGCACAGTCCCCTGATATATAAATAAATGCCGCATATCATGAGGAATTCTCTTATATAATTGGAATAATACGCATGTATTCTGGAGAAATTTAATCTTAGCTTTTATTTTTTATGTTAATGCTCCCATCCATAATAATCGTGTTGCGCTGACTGCATATTCCTTTTAAGTATTGAAAAATTAATTACGCCTTAAAACAGAGTAAGAAACATTTAAAACCATGAAAGTAAAAAATCTACAAGTGAAATTTGACCGAGATCAGCAATGGTATGCTTAATGGTGGTTTAACCGATGAAGAAATGCAGAAGTTATATCCACTTCACGCTTTTAGGCTCAATTGCATTAGGCATTTAGGCTCAATTGTTGGTAGTGGTGCGTTCGGAAGCATACAGTCTGTTTCATAATCTAAAAGACGAAAAACTCATAGTTCAGACGTTTAATCTTTTCTGACTGCCATCACTGACTACTATAAACTATAAATAAAGGTAAACCGATAGAAAACTTCATTCCTATCTAAATTGTTCACGAATGAAATAAATACCAAACGAGAACACTAATTAAAAATTTTTAAACTAGTAGTGCCGGTCTCTCGTATCTTGTAACGTACCGAGTTTGTTCCTAACTGCAACAGGGAGTCCAGAACTAGTAACTTTACGTCAAGTTGATTCAGAATGTCTGTTCAAGCTCAATGGCGTGCTCATGCAACATTATAATAAACAGTTTTCTTTTAAAATTTGAAGTTTACTTTACTAAAACATTTGTAATTTAATGAAATTAATAAAAAATATTGTATGTTAGCAGCAGCATTGAGTGCGATATGCAGTGGGAAGTGTCTTGAACCACTCAACATAAAAGACAGCAATGAAAATTGAAGGATCCTTTGTTATCTAAACATTTATTCATAAAATTGGAGCTAAGGTTAAGCTAGTATTGTGACTAGGATTACTAATAATGGTATTAATATGATTTAAATAGTTTATGAAAATATACGTAACAAGTATGAAAATCTTCTAGAAATTTGACGAATCCTAAATTGTTCTTTCAGTGCGAAGCCCAAGAGAATCGAAATTTTAAAAGCAATCGAAAGGGACAAAATTTAAAGACCCTTAATAAAGGAGACCCTTAAGTAGCACTCAGAGTCACTTGACACTTCTGTTAAACAGTCCTTAGATGTGTCCAGAGCGCCGTCCGTTAAAATAATAATTAGAGAGCGGATTGCATTAATTAAAGTTAAAAGTTACTTAAACGAAAACAACGGAAACGCCTTTTCGTTACAAAATGTATCTGCAAGATTCTGTATAAGTTTTGATGAATTATTTTGAAGCACAAAGCTACATTTTCACAATTAAAGGTCATTTTATTCTGTGTCATAGATTTGATCAGATATTGCTGATAAACTGTTAGTTTGCTTTCAAACTCAAAATATCTTTATTAAGATAGACGCTAGCGCGTTCTTATGAAACGTCGAATTTTACATAAAAATTTATACACAAGTTCGTGAGTTGTCACCGGTTCGGAATGCAGTTTCTGTTGAGAATCTAAATTTTCTAAAGACTAAACCATTGTTGAACAAAAAGATTCTTCCAAATAATTTTGTGACAATTGCTCAAACTTTTGACCCTCCAGCGAGGGAGGTTTTCGCAGTTAATCCAAGCTACCGTAAACCGTTTGATTACTTGTTTTATTTCGTTCTATACAAAAAGAGCATACGTTTTGAATTCTCACAAGGTAAGAAATAATGAAACGGCTTTTATGGATTTATAAATTTTTAGACTTAATTGGATTCTATGGATTAATAAAATAAAATATATTACAATTTATTACACATACATTTGTACTTATACAATGATACATATTGTAATGTATAGTACAGATAATGTAACAATAGATAATCATTATGTTTTTCCAGAATTAAATTTTTTACCGTGGTCAGCCACTGTGGTGTCCATAGACGGTGGTCATCATTTATCAAAGTCAAAGTCAAAGTCAAATATCTTTATTCAATACAGAAGCATTCACTTACTTATTGATAGTCAAAAAACTCTACCACCGGAAGGTAAGCCAATGACCTGAGAAGAACCGGCGTAAGAAACTCAGCGGGACATTTTTTTTTTACTTGCCAAAAAAATTACAAATATGTGTACAATTATTAAACTCAATTTGAAAGAGCCTGGAGCGATCAATTCATTTCCAGAGTGTGTTATCATTCATATAATCACTAATACTGTAATAGCCATTAACACACAAACGTTCCTTTACAAGTTTTTTGAACTTAGCAACGGATTCATTTTGAACGTTTTCTGGAATTTTGTTGTAAAAGCGTATACATTGTCCCATAAAAGATTTACTTATTCTACGCAATCTAGTTGAGGGTAGAACTAATTTATGCTTGTTCCTAGTATTTACTCCATCAGATGAACCACCTGATCGATTGTCAAATTTCCATTTTCCAGAAGCAAAATGAGTGTGGAATGATTAAATTAGTTCCTGCATAATAAAACGTACACGTTTATACATTGCGCAAATTTATTTATTGTTAATTATATTCAAATTATCAATTTTTTAGGGTTCCGTACCCAAAGGGTAAAACGGGACCTTATTACTAAGACTTAGCTCTCTATCTGTCTGCCCGTCTGTCACCAGGCTGTATCTCATGAATCGTGGTAGTTAGACAGCTGAAATTTTCACAGATGTTGTGTTTCTGTTGCCGTTATAACAACAAGTACTAAAAAAGTAGAACAAAAATATTTAAGGACAAAAAACATGACTTTTTTTTCCGTTTTTAAAGATAATGGTATGGAACCCTTCGTGCGCGAGGCCCACTCGCATTTGGCCGTTATTTTTTCATATAAGATTTTCGAAATAGTTAGCTATGCTAAATATGAACATTTTAATGAGCAACCATCAAACTTTCAAGCGAATAAAACAAAATTCACTTATGAAATAATTTAATACAACTTGTCTACCACACTAACAAAGTAACTGGCCTGTCGTGAATGTTTCTGGTCATAGTCCAGTAAATACAAATCCCAGTATGTGAGGAGGCTTGAGCAGCGAGATCTCCTAGCGGCTTCCCGCACCTTATCAGCTCTCCTTCCGCTTGAACAAAGCGGTGAATTTGCCCGCCTCGTAGGTCGGCATGAATGGCAGATAGCTCGTCCATTTCCATCTGCGAAAGTTTTGTGATTTACTCAACAATACGCGATCCACACTACTCTATTATTTCAAGGAGATACGTGTGTATTTGTGAATTAACGTAAAAAGCTTGTTCAATTGGAACAATCAATTGGATCTAGATTAAAAACTGACAGGCATAAATTTCGGAAGCGCATTTTAACTTTAATGTACTATGTATATATTATGAAATACGAGGTTCGGTTTCTACAAATTAAAATATATTTATTCAATATAGAAGCATTACGAGTACACTCACTTATTGATTGTCAAAATACTACTACCGGTTCTCACCGACCTGAACTGGCGAAAGAAACTCAGCGGGGCTCTTTATATATTTTACCACTAGTCACGGCCCTATTTACCACTGTTTGATAATGAAATATGTATAGAATACATTATAGTTCATTTGAAACAACCTGGAGCGACCAATTCATTTTCAGAGTGTATTATCATTTAAATAATCTATTATATAAAGAGGAAAGATTTGATTGTTTATATGTATCGAATAGGCTCCGAAACTACTTAACCGATTTGAAAAATTCTTTCACTGTTGAGAAGCTACATTATCCCTGCTTGACATAGGCTATATAATATTTTCAAAAAAATTAGGGATCCTTACTAAAACTCCAATAATGTTACTCAAGGTGTACTAAAATTACCTAAAATATTCTTTACATCGCGTGCGCTGCGAAAACTATTGATGATAGAATAAAGTAATGTACTACGACTTTGCAGACCACATCATTATTTACAAAAAGTGTCGCGACAGCATATGTCTAACTATTATAGTTATGCCACAATAAGTGTTCTTTTATTTTAAAATTTTGATTGAAATGCCGCCGCTAGCAAAGGCTGTTTATTTGTATCTCGGTATTAATCCGAGATACATTATATAAGATTTAAGACTATTTCAATATCTTTATAAAACATTTTGAATTATTAAATTCGGACATTCCATTCCTTAGATATTGCAAGTTTAAAAATGTTAGTATATTGTAATTCAACTATCCAAACAGCTTAGTGACTGACTTAGTAGTTCTTATAAGTTTTCAATCACAGTTATACTGGTAATTCCTGTTCAACAGTTAGCAGATTATTAAATACTGAGGAAGTTTAATTTTTTTATCATTTTAAAATGCCCAAAAGATCAAGATCTCATCTTTCTAGAAATAGGTCCCAGGCGAGGACATTAAAAATACGTCATAATGAGGAATCTTACAAGTCTTACAAGTCGGAGAGAGTCAAATAGAGTATTTGCAGTGGCTTGAATAGTATAATAATATAAATATACAAATTCACACTAGGGAATCGAGGTCTGAGCGTTCCCAACGTATACGAGATTAGAGAGAAAGATAACAAACGTCAACGACTAGAGTTCGTGATCGAGTTTTAGCTCACAGTAACAGATCAGCTTTCATGCATTTTGCTCAACAGTCTTCCGTCCAAATTGTAACCACGAATAAGATCTGCTCTAAGTGTTCTGCTAAAAATGGGTCGATGAACCAAATGGTATGTGCTGTGCTTCTAGAAAAGTTAGTCCCCCCAATATTGAGGAGCCACCACAACCAATAAAAAATCTTTTTACAAATAATCATTCACCATCAGGACATTTTTAACCAACATCCGAAAGTACAATAGCCTCTTTCAAATGACTTCGTTTGACGCGAACGTTTAAAATAGAGGGACAAGTATACAAGTTATTATCATCCTCCTGCCCCTATCCCACCTAGGTGGGGTCGGCACAACATGAATCATGTTGTAAGTGGTTTTGCCTATATTTTTACAACCAGCCGCCTTGACGTCAACCCTCCTTGGGAAACAAATACCCAGATCAAATTTCAACTGTGTAACTATCATGGTTCATGAGATACAGCCTGTTGACAAAGGGACAAACGGACAGCGGAGTCTTAGTAATAGGGTCCCGTTTTACCCTTTGGGTACAGCATCCTAAAAAGGCTCCAGTGTTGCACGGTAAACACGGCCAACTTAAAAGGGTCTCTGAGTTACACCGTTTGTATGATCCATAAAAATATCCCTTAATAGTCGTAATAGGAGAAGACGGTTAATATTTGACTATTCCTCAGCAAGGTACTGTGCGTAACAAAACTATGACATGCTTGCAATTGTATGCATTTAGGTTGATGTTTAAAGCTTCCTGTTTTAAGGCATTGCATTATTACTGGGACTTATCAGGGTTCCGTACCCAAAGGGTAAAACGGCACCCGTATGTCTGTCCATATGTCACCAGGCTGTATCTCATGAATCGTGATAGTTACACAGTTGAAATTTTCACAAACGATGAATTTCTGTTGCCGCTATAACAAAAAATACGAAAAAACAAAAAAATATAAATAAGTGGGGCTCCCATAAAACAGACATAATTTTTTGGCCGTTTTTATAGATAATGTTGACAGTAGTAGTGTTTTTGACAATATGTAAATGTAATACTTCTATATTGAATAAAGATAATAAAACATGTTTTTTTTAATGTGATAGAGTGGCAAACGAGCTGGCGGTTCACCTGATGTTAAGTAATAACCGCCGCCCATGGACATTTGTAACACCTGTGGGGTTCCAAATGAGTTGCCATCTTTAAGACATTTGCTCATCAAATATCGGTCAACAAACCAAAGATGGGATGATTATTAGAATGATGTTTATTAGAATTTTTTCGTAGAAAGTTATTTTCCAACAAAAGTTGATTAATTTTACGCAGTCAATATGTCTTGAAAATTCATCGTTATTTCTATAGACATACATAACATTTCCAGGTAAACTGAGAAGCGACAGTCAATATCTTTATCTCTCACTCGTACAAGTTCACAGACAGGTCGGAATTGTCTTTGGTACATTATGTTTCACGCGAGTAATACATGTGTGCGTGTGTGGTTCACCTGCGGATGAGCGGCATGCCCACCGGGAAGTCGTAGGTGTCGGGGGCGCGGGCGGCGGCGTCCCCGGGCGGCCGCGACGTCTGCAGGGCCATCTCGCCCGCCCAGCGCGCCAGACCGCGCTCCTCCTCCGTACCTGAGGAGCGTCTCACTCTCATCCAGTACCCACCTCACCGCAAGCACACCCGCTACAGCCGATGGCGTGAGCGTACTTACGAATTCGAAAAGGAATGTCATAACCTTCATTTGAGTGAGGTTAGTACTTTCTATATAATTAACACAATATTTACAATAAAATGCAAAAAAGCACCATAAATAACCTGATAGGTCATTAAAATCTAACAATGTCAAGGATTTGTGACAATTAATTAGGATTTTTATTTTGTTATCTCGAAGCAAAAATTAATTTCCTATGGACACACAATTATGCGCAGCAGCTTCTACTGTTGCACGTGCACCCTCGGGTTTTGCAGATGTTCATGGGCGTTGGTATTCACTTAACGTCAGGTGAACCGCCTATTTGCTTAACGAACAAAAAACAACAGTTTTTTTTCTATATCAAATAGGGCGAAGGAAAAAAAGAAAGAGTACCGGGTATCAAGTTATCCAAGAGGCATCCGACAATTCCGCCCACCAAGATGGAGGTGGAGAGGAGCACCTGCAGCACGGCATCCAGGGCCGACACGCCCGTGGAGATGGCGCCACCGTGCGCCGACATCCACCGCGTCAGCACCAGCGGGAAGAACAGGCTGAACCCAACTATGTACAGGTTGCGGGAGCTGTTCAGGTTCACGTACTGCAGGGCCGATAGACCTGCAAGAGAATCAACCCACATTGGAGGAGAGCTCAGCTCATTTCAAGCTTTGGAGTCTTAGGACTTATCTTTTAATGAATTCAACTGTGGTAGGGCCACGCAACAGCCTTGGCTATTACACGAATGGGCAAGTCCGTCCGGGTAAGTACTACGACCTCACAGAAGACCGGCGGGAAATGGAAGTGTTATGCCTCTGCGTTCCGTCTGATGAGTGAGGTAGCCGGGGCCCACTTTATTTAAAGGTGGCAACGCTTCTGTAACCACAACCCATGGACATCAGCAACACCCGTAGTGTTGCTGATGTCCATGGGCGGTGATTACTTAGCATTAGGTGAACCGCAAGCTCACTTGCCACCTTCTTACATAAAAAAAACCGCCCAAGTGTGAGTCGGACTCTAGCACGAAAGGTTCCGTACAATTATCTGTAATAAACTAATTGGTAAGTACCTACGAATTTCGTAACAACCGCTTTGCGATTGTTGTATAGGAGCCCCCATAAATATTTTTTTTATTTTATTCTGTTTTTATTATTATTACAGCGGCAACAGATATATGATCATCAGTGAAAATTTCAAGTGTCTAACTATCACCGTTCATGAGATACAGCATGGTGACAGATGGACAGACAGACAGAAAGCGGAGTGTTGTCGCTGGCAACCCTAAACCGGATATGACGTTATCTATTCGAGTGAAGATCCACATGGTCGCATGGAGCAGCGGTCACTGGCTTTTCGGACGGTGATATAACCACTAAGTGCTGCTTGTAGTTATAATAGTTATTAATATTCAAGTTCAGATACAGTTAAAATATTAGAATCAAAGTAATAACGTTAATACTCTTATAGGAGTATTAGTAATAGGGTCTCGCATATACGATAAAAAGAGTAGAAAGATAAAAGTGGTGCGCCGACCGAAGGCGGAGATCATGCCGAACATGACGCAGAAGAGGCCACCGACGATCGGCTGCGGGATGATGATGAAGACGGCGCACAGCTTCCCCACCACGCCCTGCACCACCATCAGCGCCGCTGCCCACTGCACCACGCGCCGGGAGCCCACCTGTACCACATGCCAATTTAAGCGCAGCGCTAGCCGACTCTAACGTCGAAATCATATTTAACACTAGCTGCTGCCCGCGACTACGTCTGCGTAGAATAGGCTGAAGGCGTAACATTCAGACAGAAAGACAGATTCTGCTGTAAAAGCTATATTATAATATTGTAAAGTTTCATTAGAATCCATTCAGTAGTATTTGCGTGAAAGAGTAACAAACATCCATCCATACATACAAACTTTCGCGTTTATAATATTAAGTAAGGATGGATTTCCCCGTCATTATGATGAGTCTGCCACTGTTAAATAGTACACTTTGCACGATAGTAATTGATATTTGAGGGCAGTTATTAAAATTTATCATGGGAATACTTAAATACAATTTCACATCTTGTTCCGATTTTCTTGCTCTCAAGGTATTTTATTATAATCTGAATATGGAATCTAAAACTTTCACATAGTCATAGTTTTAAAAAAATATATATTTAACGTCCGCTAGCGCTTGTATTAAGGTTTTAAAGAAATTTGTTTAAATAAAACTACTTATAAGAAAACAGTTTTATAAAAGAAGGGTTATTTATGCATGGTGTATACATAAATTGGTGCTTTTTATATAAACGGCATAGACTAAAAGTAAACATAATATACTATCCAACAACAAACGGTTATTTAAACCACTGCAGAGTTACGGCTTTCATATTAGACAGACACGATGCTAGCTGCTACGTAGGCCAATTACTCGCCCACATGTTTATCCTATAGTCTGCTATGACCGATACGCTAGCCGCGCCCCATAGACATAGTTATAATCAATTATATTATATAAAATATGTATAATATAAAATAGGGAAAGTGGGGCACTCAAATTACACCAACTGGTGTAATTCAATAGAATGCTATGTCTTTCAGTATCACACGTTCTACATAATAAGAAGCAGAATGCCTTGGTAACGCCGATGGCGCCAACGTTCTCGCCGAAGGTGTTGGTGCCGTTGCCGGAGCCCCAGAGGCCGGCCAGCATGGTGCCCAGGCCCTCGGTGCCGAGGCCGCGGTTGATCGCGTGCAGGGGCGGAGGGGGCGCCGCTGGCAAACGGAGCTTTCCACTTTCAAACCACTCGAGGAATATCATCGATACAAGGGCATATAAACAGCAAAAAGACATAGCGCGTACGCCTGAGCTATAGAACAGAGAAGGGGTATAGCAACATCGGATTTACCTCTATCGTATATGTCGAGAGGAAAGTCAAAAGAGCTTTTGAGTGAATCTAAACCAATTAATTGTAATATCTTATATATAAAAATGGATTGCTGTTCGTTAGTCTCGCTAAAACTCGAGAAAGACTGGACCGATTTGGCTAATTTTGGTTTTGAAATATTTGTGGCAGTCCAGGGAAGGTTTAAACATGAGAAATTATGGAAAAATTGCTTGGAAAATCGAAATAGCAACAATTTTATTTTCCCATACAAACTGTACTCGTCAACCTGTCAACTATGTCTGTCAAACACTTCCAAATTCCCTAGAAATAATTTATATGGCAAAACAACGTTTGCCAAGTCAGCTAGTAAATATATATTATTACTGTCTACATACATGTGCATTCTTAATAAATGGTAATAACGTATTCCTTTAATATTATGTCATGACCTATTCATTTTTCATTACAATCATCACATCGTTATTAATGAAAATAACAAAACACCATCAATTTCATAAAGAATACTGCAATAAGTACAAACAAATCCACATTGAATATCATATCTAAAAGAAAACATCAAAGAGATTAAAGTGCTCTCAATTAAAGTAAATACGTTGCTTCTTACCGCACATGCGCGCCGTGGTGGGGTAGTAGCTGATCGACTCCACCGTGCAGGCGAGCACCCCGGCCAACATGCCCAGCACGCCAGCCACGCTCACAGTTGGCACCCCCCATTGCCCTAAAGGCCCCCATTATTGGGTTAAAACTTTACCACCAATACTTATGACAATCTGTGTGGATCCTGCGGTCATATGAAGCCCTGGGTCGTCTGCTTTGCCCAAAGGGTAAGACAACATACACAGTTATGTGTGATCCTTAACTTTTTACATGTTTAACTTTCTACATGTTTTAATGTTCAATCTTAAGTGCAGAGATTAGCACTATAAAAAACTTTAAAATTTATAAAAAGCAATGGCGACATCTCTCGTTCGAATTATCGTTGTAAAAAGATATTCAAAATTGTTTGTATGCTGGAAAGGATATAACAATAGATGCGCCAAGCATTGCTCAAATGCTAAATAACAATGTAGAAAGAAGGCGTTAAGATTTTCGTCGCTGTAGCTATCAGCCGTTTAGCTCAGTGGCCAGAGCGTAAGGCCGCGAATGCCGAAGACGTGGGTTCGATTCCTACAGCGGCGACAATCTTTTCGTGCTTTTTCTACATGTTTTAATGATGATATTGTTAATTTATATGACAAAAATAACGCTTATAACACGGTAGACGAAGAAACCTGGATATGGGACGCGGAACCATGGAGCGTCTTCAATAATTTTGAGCTTGAGATCGGTGCGCGCCGGGTGACCTTGGGGGAACACACCCGTCGCAGTCAGCACCCCGCACACCGACCACATGATGGCAATGGTCAGCAGAACCTGTGACAAAGCACCATCAAAGCTCACCATTGAACCCCCGGGGAGCGCCAAATGCTCTTCCTAGTCAACATCAGTATCAGCCTATACATGTCCCACTGCTGAGCTAAGGCCTCTTCTGTACAGGGGAGCCACTGAAGATTGGCGGACTTCACATATCTTCGAAAATATATGTTTTGTTATTATTTCGAAAATATACAAGTTTCCTCACGATATTTTCCTTCACCGCTGAACACGTGATAATTCGGCACTTGAAATTAACAATTTCATTGGTGCCGGCACCGGAGATCGAACTCAGGTTGCTCGAGTATATTGAATTAAAGGCGAGCGCCCGGACACTGAGCTATCACGGCTAAGCTAGTCGTATGGTTGGTTTTTAATAAAAAAAACACTATTGCAGTGGCGAGCAGACAGAGTATGAACTAAAAAAACTTATTGATGAAAACTGTATTGACATACAAAGTGACCGTTAAAAAGGCTGTGAGATGTTAAATTAATGACTTTACTGTAACTCATGGGTTTCATATGGGGCATGTTTGTATGAGACGACAGGGTATGCAAAGCTTTGCATATTAGTATCACTACATAGTATAAAACAAAGTCGTCCCGCTGTCTGTCTGTCCTTATGCTTGCTTAGATCTTTTAAACTACGCAACGGATCTTGATGCGGTTTTTTTTTACTAGATAGAGTGATTCAAGAGGAAGGTTTATATAGAACCCGGGGCGGATCGCAAGTATACGCTATAAACGCATATTGACAAACCTAAAACCGTTTTACATTAACTTTAAGCCATATCATTATTGATCCTGTGCAGGACGCCCTTACGACGGACTAGCCAATTAACTAAGTTACTACTCAAACTTTAACGTTGGCAACAAGTTCCAAGAAATTTTAATGATACAGTAATTCGAAAAGCGAATTGATTTTGCGAATAGTGCAACTTTTATTTACAATATTAGAAATGCTGCATACTAAACGGTATAATTTTATAGATTATCCCTACAGTATTATTAAATAACAATCATAATAACATTACTTTATATAATTGTCTTTGGTATTTTAATTTGATTAATTTAGAATGAACGTTTCGAGTGTGATCGATATTAGCAGAAAAAAAGTATATTCAGTAGCTTGGCAGCTTATTTCTATTATCTGCTGATTTTATTCATTTCATTATGAGAATAATTCGAATTCAACATTATCAATTTCCTATGTCCAATACAAACAAAGACATTGTGAACACTTAAACGTAAATAAAAGCCCGGAACACAATAACTGTCAAATCAGAAACATTCAACGAGCCAGAGAAAGGAACATCTGGATAAATGTTCTTAATCAATGTATACTTACAGGAAACAACTTAAAGAGTGGAAACCAGTTTATGCCCAAACCGGAGCCCTTCTTGAACGTTAAAGTTGGCACCTTTACCTCGCCCATACACTGCGAGAATATTGTCAGTAATGTGAACGTCCTGCAAGAGTAAATAATATCTATTTAATATAAATTTGTCAGCATACGATTTATGGTCTCTCTCAACCTTATTTCATTATTTGTTTTTAAAATCTGGATACATTTCTCGTCAGAGCATTAACATCTGTTTTATCTATCTAATTTATCAAACGTTTAAAAAGATATATGAAGCCTAGCCTATTGATAGCAATATAACAAGAAACATGACATAAAGAGTAGAACGTCAGAAATGCTTTGTGAAAATCTTTAAAGCATCAAGTTCACAGATAAAGCTTCGACATGGGGCACTGTAGCGCGGAATTTGTTTAGCCATTGTGCCGGCCAGAGTCCGGGCGAACAAAGCGAACATCCCTCACAATAATGGCGCGGGCGCCATTTTGAAAAGTCCATGACGTACAGAGGAAAGGCGAGGTTATATTAATGAAACATTTGTTTCATTGATACTCAATTAATAAATAAACATTCGCTGAAAATTTACAACTATCAATTAGCAGAAAATTTAAGATTTTTTTTATAATTTTTCACCATTATAAATATGCGAGTTACAAGCAATCATAATATCTCGTATATAAGAGAACTACTCTGAGCTGGTGAAATTTCATTACACGACAAGTGATGAACTTGTAGCCTAACACCACATTGATAAACAAATGGCAGATTCATGGTACTCTTTGCTACACTCTATTCGAGCAGATGAAAGTGACGGTACGAAAGTGACGATACTGCATATTCGATAGAAGCAACGCGGCTTAAAAGCGGCACGTCCTTATTTAAAAGCGAATATATCACCCACTTGCGGCTACCGATACGGTGGGTGAGTTTTCATTTTGTATGCTTCACTCACAGCCCGTGTTGGGTGACGTCAGGCTGGATGGCTGGAATCCTGGAGGCTTTTGTGTGCCTGCATTGTTCAAGCACAAAGCTTACATGACTCAGATCGTTGCGCACTGGGCATATAGCTTTTGATAAACTGCCAGAGGCGGAACACAGGGAATATTAGAAAAAATCAATTAATGCATTGATGGACATTGGCGCGACATCCAATCCAATTTCTGTCCAACAAATGATCTTTCCAGTCCTTTTGTCTGTTCGCAAAGCAGCGGCATCAACTTACAAATAAGTTCCATTCTATGCATGTGTAAATTTGTTTAGTTAAAATTCAGAAAGGTTATTTATTTATTTTAAAACTGAGGAAGGACGTATTCTTTACAGTTCAACGTCTAAGCTATCCGAAAAGTAAATTCCGTACACACCTTTAAAAATATAAAAGTAATCTGTTCTTGAATTATTGTTTAATGATTAAACACTAATAATTTAATAATATAATATAAATAAAATATAACACTAATATATATGAATATAGATACATATTATCTTCACCAACCTACTTTAAACTAGTAAAACAAAAGCTCTCATCTTTTGGCTAGAAGTAGGTGGCCTAACAATGGCGCACTATAAAATAGTTATTCTTGAACACACGGCATTATAACGGGTAGAATGAACCAAAGGGGTATAATAAAACTCTTTTATCTATTGTAGTTTCAGTTATGTTGTGGTAGGTGAGTCACCCATTAGCATTATGGGAAATTGTACGACGCAAATCGCTATGTGTCGTAAAATATATTTTGTTAATTTCGCTTTGTTGCAGCTTTTAATTTCTCTCTTCCATATGAAATCATAGTAAAGTAAAGTATCAGCCTATCATGTCCCACTGCTGGGCAAAGGCCTCCTCTGTACAGAGGGTATCAGGGCATAGTCCGCCACGCGGCCCCACTGCGGATTGGCGGACTTCACATATCTTCGAAATGTTTTTTTTTTAATTATTATTTCGAAAATATGCAGGTTTCCTCACGATGTTTTCCTTCACCGTTAAGCACGTGATAATTCAGCACTTGAAATTAACAATTTCATTGATGCCGGCACCGGGGATCGAACTCGGGTTGCTCGAGTATATTGAATTAAAGGCGAGCGCCCGGACACTGAGCCATCACGGCTCTATGAAACCTAACGAGGTCTCATTTTAATGTTATAATTCGTCGAATATTTAACAAAAATATAAAATGCCAAAAGTTGTCAAACGAGTAGACGGTTCACCTAATGGTAAGTGAAAACCGCCGCCCGTGGACATCTGCCACACTCGAGGGCTACAGATGCGTTGACAACCTTTTGAAAATTATGCTCCGGCTACCTCACTCACCAGACGAAACGCGAAAGTATTTGTCATACTTCCACTTTACGCTGGTCTTCTGTGAGGTCGTGGTACTTACCCGGACGGGCCTACCCATTCGTGCAACAGGCGAGGCTGCTGCGTGCCCTTCCACCATAGCCGTACCATCTATAAAAACGGCAGAAAATCATACCTCAACAGGCATGATGGGAGCCCCATTTAAATATTTGTCTATTCTGATTTTTATTTGTTACTAGCTGCTGCCCGCGACTACGTCTGCGTAGAATAGTCTGAAGGCGTAACATTCAGACAGAAAGACAGATATACATAAAAATATGTATATAAATTATAGCCATGCGTATTCTGATGTATAAGGTATATTAATGTAAAGTTTCATTAAAATCCATTCAGCAGTATTATCGTGAAAGAGTAACAAACATCCATCCATACATACAAACTTTCGCCTTTATAATATTAGTAAGGATTATAGCGGCAACAGAAATACATTATCTATGCAAATTTTAACTATCACGGTTCACGAGATACAGCCTGGTGAGGGACGGACAGACAGACGGCGGAGTCTTAGTAATATGGTCCCGTTTTAACCTTTGGGTACGGAACCCTAAAAACCTAGACCCAATACTCCACTTCATTAAGATAAGAGTCAACGGAGTGCAGGTCTGGGTTAAAATCAGGTAGAACATTTCCATCAAAATTCTGACAAAAGAAAAGTCTAGAAAGAGTCAAAACTCAGACAATTTTGGTCTAAGGATTAATGTTAATTAATACACCTTAATTCGGCTGATATTATCTAAAAACAAGCGATAGACCACTGTAGAAAGAGCAAAAGATATTGAAATGACTTTCTCTCAGTCACACAGCTACTACAAATCAATAATTTTTATAAGCCGTATCCAAATTAAGCACCCCTAGGTATCGGGGGTGTAACTCAGTGGTAGAGTGTTTGCTTCGCATGCTGAAAGTCCTGGGTTCAAATCCCAGCACCTCCATAGCTTTTTGTCATTTACAACTTTTGATATAACGTGGAGTTCAATTTTTTTTAATTATTAGGGCGAGCGCAGCGAGACCTAACACTATTAGACAATCTGAGCACTTTTGTGGTACACTTTACGGAAAAACTACCAGGTCTATAGATTTGTGCCTTAACACAGTAATTTAACTTCATATCTAGATGTGTTAACTGCCAAAAAAAATGTTATTTGTTTTTTTTTTATATTTATTGGATACAATGTTATTATACTACTAACGCCATCTGTTAGAAAACCATCGGCAACTGCAACAAAACTAAGGTTAACATTTTTTGAACATGTTTTGAAATGACTATTAATGTGCACCTACAAAAAAATAATATAGGAATGCGTGAACGATTACTTTGAGAAAACTAGTCAAATATTTCACCTACAGTAAGAATATTAATGATATTGTTACAGCGAAACAAAGAATAAAAATACTACAGTAAAATGACGCGAAGACTCACATTAACAGGCCGTAAAGTACGTGAAAAACCGTTTGTTGATGAATCAGACGAGAGAACGTTAGAAAAGAGAACGAGAGGCAGAATCCAGTTTATATCACGAAAATTAGATTCTTTTAGAATTTGCCATTAGTTTTGTAATGGTCAATGGTAATGTAAATCATCAATTTGCATCCAGAAAATGATAATTTAATTTTCAAAGTGAAAATACTAATTAATAACCTAAAGTCACAGATTTAATATAAGTACTAAACAACGTTTGATAAATAAAAAAATATCTAAAATGTATGGTCGTATTAATTATTTACTTCGGTAAATATGATATGGGCCCCAAGGTCATATCAGAAATAATAATTTTAAAAAACTATTTTAAAAATTGTTACCATTTAGAAAAATTACGCGAGCCCTCACAAAGCTCAGCTTTTTGCTAGTTTATAAATACATCTTTAATTTCGCTTTCGTTTTCTAAGGAATTGTTAATATTTGAAACAAAGATTGATTCTTACATTTACATTTGTTCCCATTGATTAATTATATATTTCTTTTTGGTCTCATTTAGATCCGTAGATGTCGTAGACGCCGTAGACCGTAGACTTATAAGAAATACAGAATTCTGACAATATATTTTTTTTATGACGAAGCACGTTTAAATCAACATATTTTTGACTTTCGTCGAAAATTAATGTCTCTTTCAGAGAGGTTAAAAGGACAAGACGTGCAGGTAAAATAAAACTAACTTGCACACGATCATAATAATATATACAATAAGCCATACTAATATATAAAAGCAATTTGATCACCTCTATGACGTAGACTATATAAGGATTATCGAGCTGCCATCCATGTTTATTTTAAATTAAGTAATTTTCCGGGCTCATTATAAAATATCGTGCATGTAAAAGCCGCTACGGTTATCTAGTTTTAATCGAGTTATCGAAGCGGCCTGTATTCCCAGGGCAGCAGCAATTTCCAGGGAAAATATGGCCGTATATGGGTCACGTAAATGCAATAAGCTATGGCCGTGCACACAGGCGCACCCGGGATGCAGATTGAATCGATATAGCACACTTGTTGCGGCGAGGGCGCTGACCCGGTAACTATGGCGACGACGGTGCAACCCCGCCCCGGCTCTGCGCTCCTGGTACCCTCACAGCAATGAACAAAGCCTAATTTAACGAGATACTTATTAAAAACTTAAAGACATACTCTTGGCTTGGCTAGCATATTTCATCTCAGTCTGATACCACACATTCTATTTAAATACAAAATAAGTTTAAAAAAACCGTCGCAAATTTAGGCCCGGGAAATCTTAATGAATACTTTAATACTATTAAGGTTTTCAGTAAGATTCTATTTGATTCGTCGTAGTTATTAAATTTTCTTCTTAGTTTTCTGCTCGTGGTAGTTACAAAAAAGAAACTAAAGAGAGTTTAGTTGTTACAGCAACGCATTTACAAATAATAAAAGGTTTTAAGCTAATAATACACACATATAAAGCCGAATTCGTTGATTACACTAATGGGCCACCTGTCCCCAACACTCGGAAGGTATTCAGATAGCAGTAAATACATATAATGCGAAATAAAATCGATAGAGCTGAACGTGCGGTCGTCGACCTTCCGACCTTTTTGGCCCCGTTCCACTGAGATCATAAATACCCACCTGCCCACTAGCTTTTCGCTTTGTGCCTACATAGACTAAAGGTATATATATAAGAAGCTTACGAATATTTCCCTTTTTTGTTTATCAAGAAAACAATTTACCTTCGTTTTTATACAAATAAACCACGAACATTTTTAGCAGACCGTAATATTTTAAATCTAGACCTTATAAGTATGAGAATTATTAGCTTAATGTCTATGAGGCATGACTTGACTTGAAGTTGGAAAAGCGTTAATATGCTTTAAGTTATATCTGAAAGCAATAAGTCAATTTAAAAATAAATTCGACTAAAGTTAAGTAACGTTACTGCAAGTTTGTTTTAATTAAGTCAAAAGAAATTGCGGAAAAACAATTACAAAATACCTAAATTACTTTAAACAGATTTATCCGTGCGATGCCTGAGGATCTAACCGGAAATCAAATTCCATGGAATTTAATTTTCCAACACTAATAACAACTTTTAACCTGACAGCTTCAACTTTTATAGAAAAAAAAAGAGAAATATTAATATTCACAATCTAAGCAATTTATGGAATATGTAATGAAACCATACTATAACCATATTCAAGAATTTCATCGCAACGATTTTCAATGATCTCGACCTCCTATATTTTATATGATGTTTAGATAATTAACTGTTCCTGAAAGTATTAAAAGTAATTTCATATACATATAATATTTGGGGGCAGAATAAAATAACAAATACAAAGAATAAAATCAATATTGAAACATTCTATATCAACGTTTAGCACCCCTCGTGCTTTTTACTTGTCGTGGCTATTTCGTAGTTGCACATCGCGCATAAATCAATGATTATACAAAATGTATCCAAATTAAGCACCCTTAGGTATCGGGGGTGTAACTCAGTGGTAGAGTGTTTGCTTCGCATGCTGAAAGTCCTGGGTTCAAGTCCCAGCACCTCCAAAGTGTTATTTTACAATTTTTCCTTTTTTTATTAAATTTTTTACTTTTGTGTGCTAACAGATTGTGCCTAAGTAACTGTATACTTGCTAAATAGTGAATTTCGTGTATGAAAAAGCTACATTATATTAAATTTTTATTCTCTGTTATTATATAAATTGAAGTGAAATATTTTTTTAAGTATTTCAACAGTAACAAGTCGACTATAGCTCATAAGCTAACCTAGAGCTGCCGAGTTGTCGCGGGTCAGTGCCGCTGTATAAGCGACCGGCGAGCATATGCCTTTAAGGCGAGCTCGTAAATGTAGACTTTACAGAAATTCTTTACACTCACTTTAAGATAAAATGCTATGGCTATATTACTACATAGTCAACCATTATATATAAGTCAACCATTTGTGTATTGTGTACAGGTGATCGCCTCATGCGTAAGTAAGACTCGCCGAGAATAATCAAAGTGGTTGCAGCATGCCATTAAAAGAATTATACCATTTACAAGAATATCTTCTTTATTTCATCAAAGAAACCTCAAACTTATAGTTTCTTCTCCACTTATGGGATCACATAAGATGCGCTCAGTTTTACGTTGCGTTTAGAAAATTTCCCATTAAACGTCTCGGCAATACGAAAAATGTTTGTAAATTTATAAGTTCCGTCCGGCGTTGAAGAAGTTGGAACGTGAGATCTTAGTTAAACTGCAGGCAGTGCAGCAAAAGATCAAAACAAATATCGAGACGTTAGGAAAAGATTTTTATGGTTCACGTGGCTATGGAATGCGGAGATCGCATATACGACCCTTAAATGAACGAATGTTTAAATGATATAACAAATCGATGTTAATGTTTATGTTCTAACTGAAGTTAACGCTTTCCGTCCGTAGATTATTAATCAAACGCAGAACCCTTGGGCTAGCTAGAACCCACGGGTTGGAAGTCCAGTGTGGGGAGGACCGGCGGGTAGGGCAAGGGTCCCTTACGTTGCCTACGGGGTATCTGGCCTCGGTGCGGACCGTGACCCCGATGGCCGTTGACTGTACATCAATTTGATGTGTGACTGAATGAGATTGTGACTTGCCCTGCGGCGATGCCCCACTGTTGCGAGGCGGCGTCCGCGGCGTGGTCGAACAGCGTCAGGCCCACCAGCGCCACCGTCGGCGCGATGGTGAGAGGGGTGACGTAACGCAGCAACGACCCGATTATACCGAAGTAGCCTGTACGACGCAATTCATAATTCAATTGTACCTCAATGATGCTTTATCACATCTAATCTACAACTGTCTGTTAAAAAAAAGTAAAGTAAAAGCCCCCACATGCCCCACTCCTGGGCAAAGGCCTCCTCTATACAGAGGGTATCAGGGCATAGTCCACCACGCGGCCCCTCTGCGGATTATATATATATTTTTTGTTATTATTTCGAAAATATTCAGGTTTCCTCACAATGTTTTCCTTCACCTCAGAGCACGTGATTAGTCAGCACTTAAAGTTAAAATCTTCACAGTGCCGGCACCGGGGATCAAACTCAGGTTACTCGAGTATATTGAATTAAAGGCGAGCGCCCGGACACTGACCTATCACGGCTCTATTTAGTATAGTCTGTTAAAGAGAATAAAAGAAATTTAAAAGAATAATCTTTCATTTAATTTTTAATTAAGTAATCTTGTGGCATCCTCGATTACGGGGCACCATATTGGAGTGCTTGAAATAGATCTAGCGCGTACATTTCTATGTGCTATTTTCTATCTCTCCTATTTTAGCTAATTCTAATATTTGTAGGTATAATATGGAATTAAATATGGAAGAAAGCAATAACGTTAGAAAAAAACCATAAAGACGAACAGCAATGTGGCGTTCGCTTGCAATTCACTAAATTAATTACATTATTATAAAGATACAAGGGATCTTATGATAAACGGACAAATTACTAAATAAGAAGGCGGTGTTTATTTTAAAGGCTTAAGGATTTGTATTATTAGGATATAAACTTAGACCTTATTTTGTAACATATAGTTGAATGTGTTTGTAAATATAGTATAAACTGTAAATCATTTATTTGATTTTAACAAGTACATTTTATAAGCATTAATCAATGATCAATTTAAAAAATGTCACTTCAAAATAAAAGTACTCTAGCCTTCACTTATTCCGCATAAAATGAAACTATACTATGCAATCCGATGTCATTCTACTGAAATGTAACTGTTTTTGTAGCGGAAAAATAGAATTGAAGCGGGAACAATGGTTTGGCATTGGATAGCCCTTTAAAATTCGGTACTCTTTATTCTGACGCAATATGCAAACAAGGATTAAATTGACAATGTTTTAACAATTTGAAAACGCTTTTGAAGCGAAATAAATTAGAATAATTTTGTGTCCTTTTATTTGTTCACTTAACAGTGCTGATGCCCGTTATGGAAGCGAAATCTTGAGCCACAAAAGGTGTTTGTCCTTTGTGCAACCGCAAATATTAAGATAAACAGCTTTGAATACTCGTAATTTATAAATAAATATTTGCGACTGTGATGCTATTTAAACTTGTGAAATTATTGTTATATAATAGATTTGATATAAATTAGTATTACTTATATTTCTTCACGATAAAAATTTGCACATTAACTTTAATTAGGAATGATAAAAAATACACGCACAAGTTACCACCATATAGGAAATTTTGTTAGTGACAGAGTATACATGGATAAAAAGTATTAAATATATTTTCTTTAAATAATTTCGAAGTTCTGCAGGTTTCTTCGCGAGGTCTTCCTTCACTTTAAAGGATTAATAAGGAAACATACACTTAATATGATATTATTGCAACTAGTAAGTTGTTAATAGTTATTCTTCTAACATGCATCAATAGCATTATTCCGTTTCTGAACCGAAAGCCGAAAGCGGATATACCTATTAAATATCAAAAACCAGTTCTAACCGCAGAACACCTGGAAGAGAGCGGATACGGCGATTGCTCCAGACAGTTCGCACATTCGGCTGGTCCACACTTGGCGCCTCTCGGCGTCCGTCATGGCCGCCAGGGCCTCCGCACTGGGGCACTGCCACTCCGGCAAGCCCAGGATGGCCAGCGTGGGCACGAGGAAGGATATCGTCCCGCCCTGCACTATCGGCAGACGGCACCCGAAGGTGCATTGCAGCCAGGTTATCAGCCCTGCGGATCGGAAAAATCGCTTACCATTTATGCCTCACTAGCGACCCGCCCCGGCATCGCACGGGTGCAATGTATTATTCATATAAAACCTTCCTCTTGAATAACTCTCTAACTAGTAAACAAAACCGCATCAAGAGCCGTTGCGTAGTTTTAGGTAAATATCTAAGCATGCATAGGGACAGACAGCGGGAGGACTTTGTTTTATACTATGTAGTGATAGAGATAGTGATAAGTGGCGATTCAAACTAAAGAGATTGCATGTATGATAAATAACTTTGCAAAAGAAATAACATCGCAAATTAAAATAAAGGTAAAAAATTCTAAGCAATATACGAATCTCTATGTACTCGTATTTTGCATCAGTTTAAACACACTCGTATTTGCAAATTATTCTTATTATAGAGATAAGTGTGTAGTTAATTAAATATAGAAGAATATTGGAAAGTTTTCCGAAATACATCCCGTATTTTATTACAATATCTACTTAATTATTTTTTTTTAATCATTCGACTATTCAATTAACTAGTTTGTCCTGTTTTTAGTTAAAACTATCATTACCATATTGATAGTCTCTCAAGAAGTTTTGGAAAGAAAATTGGACTTGGAAATTTACTGAAAATTAGAACTTCAAGTGATATCTGTGCAGTTTTAAAACTAGAGCGGTTATATTTAAGACTAAATGGACTTAAATAAAATAATGCTATTATTTGCATGCGTTAAATATTAAAAATATAAAGAAAAACCTGTTAACGATATACATCATACAGTACTCTCATGTTGTTATCTCTATTTATTAGTGTAGTTTTTTGAACTCAATAACAATTTAGTGATAAATGTGTCTAACAAGTTTATGCAAATGTCTTTCTTCTTTGTCTATAAATTACAACAAATCCTTCCAAAAATTTAATAACAAAATATAAAGAAAAAAAATAAGTTGGAGGTGCTGGGATTTGAACCCAGGACTTTCAGCATGCGAAGCAAACACTCTACCACTGAGTTACACCCCCTGTATATAAGGCTGATGAATACTCCAAGTCTTTCTAGAATTATTGATTTTAGCTTAACTGAAAAGAGATAGAAACATGCGCAGTTTGGATGCGCGGTGTTCCTGCTCTAATTCGAGACACATTTACTTATCTCCAGATAAATGAAAAGCATATAGTGTATGATTCACCCATAGACAGCCAAAAGACAGACATTAAAATTGCAAGGAATTACCTACGCCAGCAAATCATTCGTTTGTTCCGTTCCTTAACTGAATGCATTCAAATTAATACAGGCTCAGGTTTATTACTTAACATTATCTTTCTCTCCTGAGAACAACCATTTTCTAAATATTCCATTTAAAAAGATAAAAAGTTAACGATAAGGTTTACGTTACATTAAGCTTGTGCTAGTTATGAACTTTTATCAGTTAGACAGGTGCGACACTAGATGTCGCTCTTGCCTCGTTACGAGGAAAATAATTAGCACTGTTTCTGTCTCTTTCGCGCAGGAATTAAAATCAATATTGCTGTGTACTGTCCTAAAATTCACAACCCCTACATACCGGGGGTGTAACTCAGTGGTAGAGTGTTTGCTTCGCATGCTGAAAGTCCTGGGTTCAAATCCCAGCACCTCCACAGTTGTTTTTTTTTTGTTTTTAAAACTTCTTTTTATTCCCTAAAATAAAAATCAACTGCAAGGGATACAGCTCTCATCGCCGGAAGGCGTGCTAACAGCGTTTTATAAGTCCGTGGAAGAGATTTCTGCGGCGGACTGGAAAAAGTGCTTCGAGAATTGGTTCAAAGGCATGAAAGAACAGAGGCTGGTGGACAAAAAATATTTCATATATATAAATTAGTTTTTCAGAGTCTCAATACTTTCCGAGTCTCCCACGTATTGCAAAATTCTATTCTTCCACGTAAAGCTAGCTTTGAATACCTTAAAGGTATATAGATAATACAGGACAAATATATTTAGATCAATTTTAGTAGCAAACGATCAATTTTCAATGATTGTAAATACACTGTTAAACACATCGCACTAACTTGTTATGAGCCGATGATACCGGTGTATGTAATAGAGTCATTATATTATTGTGTCTGGAAATGGATAACAATTCTATTGAAAGATTTCATTTAGTACGTAGTACATAAATACCAAGTTACTTTAATTACAATCATATAATATAAATATAAATTCTATAATAATTTTAACAAATTGCAGTCATATTAGAAATAAAGTGATAATAAAACCGTTTAAAAACTTTTAAGTGAAACGGTTTTATTTTATGTTTTTTTTTGTTAATATTGTATTGTCATCTAAATTAAATGTGTGTACCAAATTTCAGATCAATCTGAAAACGGCAAGGTGCTTAAATTTCAATTTCTAATTTTGACCCAAACAAACAAATTCCGTACGGGTCGAGCTAAATAAAACCGTTTAAAAATAAAGTTTTGACATGTCTACTTAGTTTCATTAGTGTTAGAGACAATTTTTATAACTGATTGACTCGATTGCAACACGGGACAACTATTTGTGTGACCCATATATAGTTATTTCGCATCTGGGTGTTTGTCCACGTGAAATTTATGTTTGTAAAGCGTCCTTACAACACAGGATAATCTTAATATCTTAAAGCGGCCATGAGGCGAATTTGTCATCAGTTCCACATTACTGGCCTTCAAATTATTCATTTCCTATCTTAACGGAATGACCGGGAGCGTAATCGTGGTAAAGAAAGACATTTAGACAGAACTTTTTTAGCAAACTCTTGACTTAAGCCGCAGCGGAAGGTTTTTCAAGAGTTTGTTTTATTGTATGTGGTCACTTTTAGAAACTTCTATTATACCCCACATTTCCATGTTCTTCACTATTATAAAATTAAAAGATATCTCTTGTACAGGTGTAAAAAAAATTAGATTTAAAAATAATGATTAAATGATTCATGAAAATCAAAGAAATCGGCTTTAAGATTATTTAATCCAGCATCACTGATTTAATGGGATCTGAAAGCATTAATACCTTTTTGAGATAGATAAATCTTTATAAATTGTTGATTTCTATAAATGAAAAGGATAAACTGATAAGCGGGGACAATCATATGAGACATAATCGTAACAGATAAAATAAAATTTCTTTAAATATATGCTCAAACATCCAATAAGTAAAAGTACACTTGGAGGTGATGAAATTTAAATCCAAGACTTTCAGAATTCAAAGCTTACTCTACCAATCAATTACACCCAAAAGGTAAGGGATGCGGTATTATAAAGGTCTATTCAGTATTATCCATTTTATTTTCGCATTTAATATGAGTGTGAATTTATAAAAGCCCTTTTAAAAATCTCGAAATACAAATAATAAGCGAAGTCACGCCGGTATGAATACTTTTGTTAAATTCTATAAAGATGTTTACATTTACTGGTAAAAAAAATCATTTAATTCTCACATTAATTGTAATATAAATCATAAATCCGTAATGGACTTAGGGTTTTATTCAAACTACGTCGTAATTAATTTAAGCAATTATTGTTTTCAGAAGGATTTTATGTTTAAATCAACCAAAATATATTACACTTGGACCAAACAGAAAAATGAGCTGTTAGTTATTTAATTACATTTCACGTTCACCGCTTCGAAGTTAATTAAGTAACGTGTTTTAATATCGCTGCTTATTAGGGTTGTATTTCACAATTAATCACGAAAGTTAGTGTAAGGTCTGGGCAAAGCCTTTTGACCATGAATAATCAAGTAATATAGCCATAGCATTTTATCTTAAAAATCATACATAAACATTCTTATGCTTAATCAAGGTATTATGGAGAACCATATACGAAGATATGCGATTTTTCAACGCTTTCACGCTTGACGTTCTAGTAAACGATCATGGAATATCGTTAGTTTGGCCTTCCATTGACTAAACTGCTCTTTCGATATCTCTGCCAGATCCTATGGATTGTCGAATAACTCACGCTGAAAAGCACTTTTGTTATACTATTAACGTAATGAAACAAAGCAAAAACAATTGTCTAAAAGTTATTTATTTTCAGTAATTTACGCCACAAATTTCATTTCTCTTGCATTTTTCATTCGGAAAAAAAAAATTAAACCGCTCACAAAAAAGTGATTTTGATAATGTTTTCTAAACTTTAGATACTGCACATTCAAACTTTCCGACACGCGGTCTATAAAATATTCAATACGGAAAAGTTGCTTAACTCGCTACAGATTTAGTATTATCCAAGCAAGACTTCTTGATGAAACTTAATTTTATACGTTTTGTTCCACACATAACTATTAAGAAAATTATTTTTATTATGACCTGCTTCGTATGAATAATAATTTGAAGTTTTCGTAAACAATTTTAAGCCATGGTTACGTTTTCTTAAATTAGACATACATAAGATGCAAATAAAATAATCATACATATTTTGTAATACAAATGTAAATATGATTTTGACAGTTACTATCCTCAGAATACAGTATTACACAATAAATATTGAGAAAATAAGTTATAATCTGTATCAACACATACATGATACAGAATTCCAAAATCGAACTACAGAGGGCAATCGAGGGCTTTATGTTTGTAATATACGTTTCCTCATAAACCTTAACAAAGTTCATGCACACACAGCAGATGGCACTATGATAATTTTACTCTTTGCCCAATATGTGTTAAAATAATTCAGTATTTTCAATTCGTTTCACTTTTATCACATTACAAATCAAAATTTTTATTCATCATAGTCCCTAGTGCTATTAAATCCTAACGAAATCATTACTATTGAAATTATTTTAAAATCCACAAATTTGACATTATTTTCACTTTTAAAACATATTTTAAGAAGAAATTTGAGTTACATTTTATTGATTTATTCATGCTTAAAAAAAAATTGATTTGTACTTGGAGAGTATTTGCAATATAGCAATCTTCTCATTAGATGAGCTATAATTTTGGTTATTTTGCTAATAAACTAATGTTTTATTATATTTATTTTTATGCACTAATTTGT